GCCTAGGGAGGATTTTTAAATTGGGTTTCTTAGAAATTTTAATTACCACAACACTAAAATATTGGTTTTAATTTGGTTTTATTCGGTGGGGTGTGTGGGTTTGTCTTTGTTTTTTAAAAAAATGTTGTGAGCCGCCCTGAGTCCTTCGGGAGAAGGGCGGGATACAAATTGAATAAAATGAAATGAAATGAAATGAAATAAAAGAGCCGAGGTTGCCTACCTCTGGCCTAGGAGGGTCACAGGAGGACTTAGGACAGGGGGAACAGGAGGACTTAGGACAGGAGTAGGCAACCTTGGCTCTTTTATGACTCGTGAACTTCAACTCCCAGAATTCCTGAGCCAGAATGGGGGAACTATGGCCCCTTCATGGCTTGGGGACTTCAACTCCCAGAATTCCTGAGCCAGCATGGCTCAGCTTGGAAACCTCTCCCTTTCCCCTCAGCATGGCTGGCTCAGGAATTCTGGGAGTTGAAGTCCATGAGTCATAAAAGAGCCGAGGTTGCCTACCCCTGCCCTAGTGAAACTAATACAGATAGTCTTTGATAAACAACCTTTCCTTTAGTGACGGTCCGAAGTTAAAACGGCACTGAAAAAAGTGACCTAGGACCGTTGTAGCCTCCCTGTGGTCATGTGAACAAAATTCAAACACTTGGCAACTGACTCGTATTTATGACGGATGCCGTGTCCCAAGGTCACCTTACCCCCTTTTGGCAACCTTCTGACAAGCAAAGTCAGTGGAGAAGCCAAGATTCATTTAAGAACCACGTTACTAACACAACAACTGCAGTGATTCACTTAAGAACTGTGGCAAGAATGATCATAAAACGGGGGCAAAACTCACTTAACTGTCTGGTTCAGCACTGGAAATTTTGAGTTTCTGTTGTGTTTGTTAGTTAAGGACTACCTGTACCGTTATAAATAGCAGGGACCGTAAACCGAGATTTTTGCTGTTTCGGCTTTGGGAAAATCCCAAAGTCGATGATGGGATTTTGCATAAGAGAACCAAAATATTTCTTTTATTGAATTTTTTTAAAAAACAAAAATCACTTAATAATTGGTGAACAGTGTGTTGTCTGGGTCACATTTGTAAAACAATCATTAACAATTAATTGCTATAATCCATATCCCACATAATAATTTTAGTTGATTTCCTCTTTCCCCAAAATATCTTCTTTTGCAAACATTGAATTCATACAGTTCTTATTGTTTTGATAAATAACAATTGAATATATAATTTTTGTCCCAATATTCCTAAAAATAATAATCATATCAGTATAATATTTCTTTTCTATTCAGTCATTCTGGTTGCCTTATCATAGATCCTGTTACAATCCTTATTTTAGTTAATTTGTCCCACCAAATTCTAGATATTCTTACTGGTGAAGATTTTCTCAAAAATTAATTACATTTTACATTTACAAATTTAACTCTTATTGTTTCTGTATAAGCCATCTCACACTTTTACATTTCTTAAGAAATAGATAAAACGATGAAAAGAAAAAGAAAGGAGAGCAAGAGTAAAGAAACATAAGAAATAACAAATATTTCCATTACCTTTAGGTTCTGTTTGGCATTTTCAAAGTACTGTAGAATTATTTTAAATAGAGATTAAAAAACAGTGCTTCCGGACTAATTTTGATGGATCCACGTTCAAATTAAAACTTCAGCATCCCGATTGACTTTTTGATATATTGACTCTCCAAGCTGTTCAACTTTCTAACTTAAATGTAGGAAAACGATGAGCAGAAAAGAAAGTTGCCTAGTCAGCATTATCGGTGATGGGCTTCTGGCCCCTAATGGCCTTTTATAGATGCCAGCTTATCATATATAAAGCCTGTCTACTAATTCACTTCACTTTGAATAATCTGATTTTTTTTTTCCTTTACAGCGGCTTAAAGAATGACTATAACAAAGAAACATTTACTCTGAAGCATAAAATCGATGAGCAGATGTTCCCTTGTCGATTTATTAAGATAGGTAAATGTGTAATTGTTCTCTTGCTTTTTTTAGTGTTTCCATCTCTGACTATTTGCTCATTGTTTTTCAAACTTGGAATCAGTAGTTGGAGCATTCATCGCTTCTGGACGCAGGTTGTTCCACTGGTTAATTGTTCTAACTGTCAGGAAGTTTCTCCTTAGTTCTAGGTTGTTTCTCTCCTTGATTAGTTTCCATCCGTTGCTTCTTGTCCTGCTTTCGGGCGCTTTGGAGAATAGCTTGACTCCCTCTTCTTTGGGGCAGCCCCTGAGATACTGGAAGACTGCTATCATGTCCCCCCTCGTCCTTCTCTTCATTAAACTAGACATACCCAATTCCAGCAACCGTTCCTTATATGTTTTAGCCTCCAGTCCCCTAATCATCTTTGTTGTTCTTCTCTGCACTCTTTCTAGAGTCTCAACATCTTTTTTACATCGTGGTGACCAAAACTGGATGCAGTATTCCAAGACTGTGGCCTTACCAAGGCCTTGTAAAGTGGTATTAACGCTTCACGTGATCTTGATTCTATCCCTCTGTTAATGCAGCCTAGCACTGTGTTGGCTTTTTTGGCAGCTGCAGCACACGGCTGGCTCATATTTAAGGGATTGTCCACTAGTGAAAGATCAGGCCCGCCCGTGAAGGCGCAGTTAAGCTGATTGATTGTTACTCGTGCCTGTGCATAGGAATTCTCTCAACTAATTGGTTAGCGCTATTTTGGCACTAGATAAAGGCGGTCGGACTCTGTTTGTGGCTATGTAGGGATGCTAGGCTGATCCCTCTCTTAACTCCACTCCCAGGTTCTGCCACATCCTTCTACGCTTGGCAGCTTTAAGATGAGTGGTTTCTTCAAAGCTAGTTGGGGGAACGCTGGGCGTTGAAGTCCACCCATCCTAAAGCCACGAGGGTTGAGAAACACCGCTCTTGCTTGTCCTATTGTTGTGCTTCCTGCAGTTTTTAGAACTCGGTCCCTTTCCGGCTTGACAGATTGCTGTGGGGCCATTTGGACTGGGAGTGTCTTGCGGATTATGTCAGCATAGGGATTTCGTGATGATTCTGATTGTTAGTGGCATCCAGCATAAAAAGGAGCGATAGGAGTGAAGTTTGCGCTGCCTCGTGTCCCTTGACAAACTAGCGCCATATGGAGGGACAATTAGGTGTAGTGGTTAAGGTGCTGTCCTAAAAACCAGGAGATGGCAAGTTCTAGTCCCACTTTAGGCATGAAAACCGGCTGGGTGACTTTGGGCCAGCCACCAGGAGATGGTGGGTTATATAGTCCCATCTTAGACATGAAAGTTGGATGAATGACTTTGAGCCAATCCCAAGAGGACCGTGGGTTGTAGTCCTACCATAGTCACAAATGTTATCTGGGTGACTTTGGGCCAATCCCCAGGAGATGGTGAGTTCTAGTCCTGTCTTAAGACATGAAAGCCATCTGGGTGACTTTGGGCCATTCACTAGGAAACTGTGAGTTCTAGTTCTCCCTTTAGTGTTTTGTTTTTTTTAAAAAAAAAAACCACTTTCTAAACAGCCACCGACAACTGAAAATGGAGAGATAAATATTTTTAAGTATTTAAGAAACTTAGGATCAGCAGAAACTCGGGTGTTTAACACAAGGAGGCAGCTCCCGGCCTCTAGGAAAATGCTAAAATTGCATTTCTTCCACCAAATGTTTGAACGCTTCGTTGATTTTAATTGTGTCGACGTGATTGTCCTCTTCAGCATTTTGTTTGTGGCATGAGGGTGGCATGGCACCTTGAAGGCATAACGTATGCAGAAAGGGGGAATATCCGTTGGATTCAACACGGCGCTTTGTTAGTGTTTCCGTCTCTGATCCTTGCTCACTTGTTTCTCAACCTCGGTATCGGTAGCGAAAGATCAGGTCCACCACACATGAAGGCGCACTTAAACTGATTGATTGCTACTCGGTGCCTACGCACAGGAATTCTCTCAGCTAATTGGTTAGCTCTATTTTGGCACTAGATAAAGGCGGTCGGACTCTGTTTGTGGCTACGTATGGATTCTAGGCTGATCCCTCTTTTAACTCCACCCCCAGGTTCTGCCACGGCCTTCTACGCTTGGCAGCTTTCAGATGAGTGGGTTTCTTCAAAGCTACCGTGTTTTCCCAAAAGTAAGGCCTACACCAGGGATGGGGAACCTTGGCTCTTTTATGACTCGTGGACTTCAACTCCCAGAATTCCTGAGCCAGCATGGCTCAGCTTGGAAACCTCTCCCTTTCCCCTCAGCATGGCTGGCTCAGGAATTCTGGGAGTTGAAGTCCACCAGTCATGAGGGGGCCATAGTTCCCTCATGCTGGCTCAGGAATTCTGGGAGTTGAAGTCCACTAGTCATGAAGGGGCCAAGGTTGCCTACCCCTGTCCTAAGTCCTCCTGTTCTAAGCATTGAGCCTCCTACACCAGGGTCCTCAACCTTGGCAACTTTAAAGACTTGTGGACTTCAACTCCCAGAATTCCTGAGCCAGCATGGCTCAGCTTGGAAACCTCTCCCTTTCCCCTCAGCATGGCTGGCTCAGGAATTCTGGGAATTGAAGTCCACGAGTCATAAAGCGGCCTAGGCCTAGACCAGGGGTAGGCAACCTTGGCTCTTTTATGACTCGTGGACTTCAACTCCCAGAATTCCTGAGCCAGCATGGCTCAGCATGGAAACCTCTCCCTTTCCCCTCAGCACGGCTGGCTCAGGAATTCTGGGAGTTGAAGTCCACGAATCACAAAAGAGCCAAAGTTGCCTACCCCTGGATTAGAGGAACACGGTAACTACGCTAAAGATCAACATCAGTAGATAACTCCAGTTACGCAACCGTCTCAAGGAAGCCACACAGTTTTAACCCTTCTAGGGGGTCTTAAAGGGAAAGCATCATGGCAATGAAGCTCTGTGTTGGCAACAGTTGTGATGCAAGCTAGGCAGTTGTCTCTGGGTTGGGGGAGATTCGGATTTGTTTAATAAAACAACAGGCATCTGATTCGTTTTGCATCCCGATCCTTGGGTGGCCCTGTCTGTTCAGCTAGGAGCCTGGA